AAAAATAATTTTGTTATCATTTTACTTATTTTTATTATTAAATATTAATTTTAAGTGATAATGAAAAAGATGAGGAAATATAAATAATGAGAATAATGAGAAAAATATAGATAATGAAAAAGATGACAAAATAAAGATTAATTAAATGAGAAATTATTTAATATTGTCCTTGTACAAAGTATTCACTAATAATTTTTTATTCTAAAAGAAACTTTTTATTCTTCATTTTTCAGAAGTGGTTTTTTACACATCATACATCTTCATTTAATCCTGCAATTAATGGTATTTATAATATTTTATCAATTATTATTTATTTATTGTTAAAAACTAATAAATATTATTTATTATAAAATTTTAAAAAATTCTCTTTTATCAATTTTTTAATTTATACATAGACAAATTATTGTTTAGTCAAAAATTCTTTCTTGCCCACCCAAAAAAATATTTCTAACTTCACCGCTGCCTAGCTTCCTCCCTCCCTTCCATGTTGTACCATTGGTATGCATTCCATCATTCCCTTTCCCCATTTCTCTTGCAAAGAGAGGTCACGGTAGAAGAAAAAAAAAAGGAACAAAGAAATCGATGAACAAAACAAAAAAAAGAAAAAGAAAAAAAAGGAGTAAAAAATAAAACCTTTTGATAGCACTTTAGATCTTATAAGAAAGTGGAAGAAGTAACTAAATATAAAAAATGAATAATATAAAATTATTAATTTAAATTTAAAAACGTTACATGTATAATATTATATAATATTATAAATTTATAATATATTATATTAAAAGTTTATCTATAATATTATATGTATTTTTTATTTAATATTATGTTATATTTTATTTAATATCATATAAAATTATTAATTTATAATTTTATTCTATTTGAATTAAGAAAAGAAGAGAAAAACGAGAGAAGTAAGGGCTTTTGAGAATTTTAAATATTTAATTGGTTTTTTTACTAAATAAAATAACTAATTTATATAAGTAGGTTTATTATTTTATACAATAAACATATTAAATGCTTAATAGTATGTGAATAACTTATTTATAAGTTTTTTATTATTTAAATTTGTTAATAGTAAAATAAATATATAATATTATAAATTTAAGTAAAATAAAATAAAATAAAATATTATTAAATAATATATAATATTATATAAAAATTATTGAAACAATTATCACTTATGC